TTACAAAATACAACACAATATATTACAAATAGTAAATCGTATAATAAGATATGTAAATAAACATTTTTTTTTAGTTATAATATATATATATATATATATATATATATATATATATATATATATATATATATATATATATATATATATATATATATATATTATTTATAGATAAGAAATAAATCAAGACAAAAAAAAGAGAGTCGTGATGACTTTTTCAGTTTAATTATTTTAGGTACTATTTTTAAAAGAAATTTTTAAAATCGAAGTTTTTTCCTAATAGAAAACGTTTAGATTCTTTTTTGAATTGTTCTAGGGAGAAGTTTAGAAGAGTTTTATTTTTAATAATATTTTTCAAAAAACTTTTCCATATAAATGGTCCATGGTATTGAATTTGAAATGAGCTGAGTTTTAAATAAGATCTTGGAATAACAAACATATCAACTGAAAATTTTGTGGGGTATTTATGAGTAATTTCAGTGAAGTAAGAGTGAAATATATTAGGAGACAAACCATGTTTTGATTTAAACATTAGAAGCATAACTTGGTAAATATTAATTTTATAAACATTAAGTGCATTAAGTTCGCCTAGAAGAGATTCACCATTAACAGTTCTGTTACAACAAATATAATCCTACATGCATGTTTTTGTTTGCTATAGATTTTTTTAAGTTTCCCATAATTAATACTTCCCCATGCAATATTGCAATAAGAAAGATAACTATGAATAAATGAAAAATATATAATTTTTAAAGACTCAATATTAAGAAATGGTTTAATTTTATATAACATTGAAATATTTTTGGAGATTTTGTTTTCAATAGATTTAATATGATATTTCCATGATAAATTTTCATCATTTTAAATAATCACTCCTAGAAAGTTAACAGTTGACTCTCTTTTAATAATTGTTTTATTCATAAAGAGATTGGGTAATTTTAGAGAAAGGTTATCTCCCCTACGAGGTTTGTGGAACAAGATAAATTTAGTTTTCTCACCATTTAATGAAAGTTTATTATTTGTAATCCAGTAATTTATTTTTAATAATTTTTCGTTAGATATTCTAAACAGTTCTTTTATATTATTGTGTGAGTAAAAAAAATTCGAATCATCAGCAAACAAAATAACATTTAAAACTTTGGATGCTAAGTATAAATCATTAATATAGAGTAGGAATAAGAATAGTCTACAAATATACATTAGTCAAAGATTATAAAATTAACTATATAAATACTTCTGCTGGATCTAGTTTTTTAAAATGTCTTTAGCATTCCACTAAATGCAACATTTTATATAATAACTTTTTTTGTCACCAAATAATTAAAACAGTAAAGGTATCGTTCATCAATTACTTTATGCTATATTTTACTTAGATAAAACATTGTTTTTACAAATATTTTTTTCTTTTTTGTACGCGTATATTTATTAATAAAGGGATTCCCAAGTGCCGACAAAAATTATAGTAATTGTTTAGCTTTACATGAATAAAAATACGCGAGCAAAATCGCTAAAAATTTGCGTAAAGCTGTGAGTATAAGCAATTATGTTTATTCACCCAGCCTATTTAAAAAATCATGTTAGTATTTAAATTAAAAAATAAGTTTTGTGTTAATTAAAATTACCAAATCAATTTATTTATTGAGATATTGATGAAAAAAGCATTTATTGTTTTGCGATATATTTCTGCAGTATTTATGTAAAAAAAAGTTGTTTTTTTTAATAAATAAAAAAAAAAAATTTCAAGAAAAAAAAAATGCTCTTCAAATCAAAACTTACCTTCGAGAAAAAAAAATGGCGTTAAAAATTATTTTTTAAAAGGTTTTTTGCTTATGTTTTGATAAATACTTTGTTTTGGAACGTTTAAATAATATGAAATCTATTTTTTAAGGATTACTTAAGATATGTAAACACTCAGCACTTCACTTTAATTATTTTAACTATTTCACCTAAAAATCTAGTTTAATTTAATTTATAAACTTTAAGTAAGCATTAAAATACATTTTTATTTATATAGAAGAATACCTGCCAAAAATTTTCTTTTCAAGCACATGAGATATTCTTAAATACACAAAAAGCATTTTTATTCCCAGATTTTTTTTTTTTTTTTTTTTTATTTAATTCACCTCCTCAAGGCCGAGAAGGCCACTACAGACGAGGAGGCTACTTATTTGTGGTTATAACCCTCTCTCAACTCTATAACTCCGAAACACAAACCTTGATGAACAAGGCCGCTGCGCGGAGAAACGAGTTGAGCGCGGTACTACCAGGGATGTGGTGGGGGTCGAACTCGGAACCACTCGTTTATGAAGCGAGCGCTCTACCACTACACCACTACCGCATCTTATATGTCTTAAAAATATTTTTCCGGATTTTTTACGGATATTATAATAAAATAATTTTCCGGATATTTTAAAAATGACAATCTATGTATAATATTTTATTATATAGAGTTAGTTTAAGCCTAGCTATAATGGAAAAATTTTTACACTGTCTGGACCATTTACGTAATTAAAACTAATTTGACTGAGGAAAATTAAAGCTTGTCATAATGTTAATCAATTTTAAGAAAATAATTCAAGTTAAATTTTTAAAAAAGTTTTTAAAAATTGAACTAAAAAATTTAAAAGGTGTGAAATAAAATACACCAAGTCTATTGGGACAATCTCAGTTCTTTCAATATTTGACATTTTACTCGACTTATTTTTGTTGTTTACTTCCGCGTACATACAAATACCATAATTTTTTTTTTTTTTTTTTTATGTATTTAGGTGCTCCCAGAAGTCCTTACGGTCTTATCATTGAGCACTGCGGGAGAGCATTTAACAGGAAGTTCACGTCTCCTTCCGTACCAATGTCGCTTGTTGGGCTAGAGATGGCGTCGAACCTCGGACCTCTGGGTTCTGAGCCAGAACTCTAACCACTGCCCCTCGGCTGCTCTTTCCCCATAAAGCAATAATGCATTGCTTTATGGGGAAAGGTCAATTTGTATGATAATTTTACAATGAAACAACATTTAAAAATTAGTTTTACTATATGTGACATTAAGTTTATGGTACGTTATTAGTATTTATATAGCGGCCGAACTTATGAGAAGGTATTGAAAGTTTAGGGCCGATGACACCGGGGGGGGGGGGTAGGCCCTTTTATGATTTCCCCGGTGTTGTCGGCAAATAAAGTTATTTAGTTAAAAAAGTTTTCAAGTTAAGTTAAATATATATATATATATATATATATATATATATATATATATATATATATATATATATATATATATATATATATATATATATATATCAGTAGCGTAGGGAAGATTTTTTGGTGTTTGAAATCAAACATTTGTATGTTTATACTTACGTCAAATAAGGATGGTTTGCAAAAAATTGCGGAGATTGGAGCCTGGGAACAAAAAAGCCCAAAATCCCTCTGCCCTAAACGTGAGAGCAACAAGTTGATAAAATATTTTTTTTATTATTCTTAACTAGACTTATATTTATCAATAAATTTCAATCATTTAATCATCGATAATTTTTATTCATCGATAAGTTTTATAGTAGTTCAAAAAGCGTTAAAAATTATGTTATATAAAATTTGCCACCCCTCAAATTGAGGGGGTACAAACTTTGTAAGGTCGTAATTTTTGAACGTTAAGTGATATTTTATGAAATTTAAAACTTATCGATGAATATAAGTCTAGTTACGAATAGTAAAAAAAATATTTTATCAACTTGTTACTCTCTTGTGATCTTTTTTGTTCTCAGGCTCCAATCATTGCAATTTTTTGCAAATCATTCTTATTTGACATAAGTATAAAGATACAAATGTTTGAAGTTTGCTCCATGTCTGGAAGTTAACTATCTCAAACACCAAAAAATCCTCCCTACGCAGTGCCGAATCATAAAGGGGGAGCTAGGGGGGAGGCTATAGTCACGGGCCCCGCAAATTTAGGGGGCCCTAAAAAATTTTCGAGGATCTTTTTTTTTTCTTTTTTTAGGCTCTGGCTCATAAAAAGGCCTCCAAAAACAAAAATAGCCCCGGGCCCCAAGAAAATACTACTGATATATATATATATATATATATATATATATATATATATATATATATATATATATATATATATATATATATATATATATATATATATATAAAATTTAAAAGAAACAATATATATAAAAAATTCCCTTTCTCTATTAGAGATATGGAAATTATTTTCAGCCTCAAACAAAGCTTGCTATTGAACGTCAATATGCAAATAACAGGAAAATACAAATTTAGAAAATTAAAAAAAAAAATTATCAAATATGTTTATAATCTGCTTCGCAATACTTTACTACAACTGCCTAAAAAAGTCATAGATTTTTACCCATTTAAAATTTTACCCATTAAAAAACAAATTATATATATATATATATATATATATATATATATATATATATATATATATATATATATATATATATATATATATATATATATATATATATATATATATATATATATATATATATATATATATATATATATAAACTGGCACCTGATATATATTTATATATATATATATATATATATATATATATATATATATATATATATATATATATATATATATATATATACATATATCAGGTGCCAGTTTTTCTATGCATGCACACTTATTAACACTTATATATGCGTTGATATATGATTATTAATTAATAATTATTAAATATTTTTTCTCCAGCACTTTATCTTGTCTTAGCGCTTTTTCTACTGTATAAAAATGAGAAAATTTTAATGTTTTATTAAATCACCTTGTTACGTGATTTCGAAGTGTAACAAAAAAGTGTAATATATTTAAATGCAAATAAACTCAGCTTTAATGTTTATATCGTTAAAAGGTTAATTGCGTCATAATGGTATTTTAAAGTACCGCATTCATTTTCAAACCATATTTAATATCATTTAAGCAAATAACTATAACATAAATTACCAATGCAATATTTGAAAAATTCGGTATTATATTAAAATTCGGTATATATTCGGTAAAGATTATATTATTATATTTTTATTTCTTAAATTAACCTTACACAACATACTATAATCTACATATAATTTGTTCATGCTTAATGCCGTTAGTTACTGAGTTACGATTCTGTAAAATTTTCAAAGACTTTAAATGAATGTTTAACGTCGTCATTTTTCTGTTTTCTGTATAATAAACCTTTTTTTAAACTATACACGTTGTTTGAAAAAGACCACAAGGTCGTTCAACTTTCAACAAGCTGTGTGAGTAGTGTTTCTTTTTTTAAAACATATTTTTGTTTTAAGTTTTTACGTTTTGATTTATATTTATTTAATTTTTTTTTAACTATTTTTTTATATATGTTTTTTTAGCTTTTCTTTGAACTTTTTAAAAAAAAAATTTTTTACTTTTTTAAAACCATTAAAGATTTTACAGCAACCAAGTAAGCGCCTCTTTTTGTTTGATCTTTTTAAATTTGTCATTTTTTAAGGATTTTTTTTTTAGCATTTCTGTTTGTTATATGCCTGTCTTTTAAATAAAATTGAGTTTTTTATTATCTAAAGATGGAAACAATTAATGAAAGAAAAAGAAAAATATCAATAATGACGATGTTTGGTACATATCTTTAGGTTGCTTTTATTTCTTCTTGTTTTTTAGTGGCTGAATTGCCTTAAAGAAAGTTGCATTTTAGTTTAAATTTGTCACAGAATTTGCATTTAAATATCTTATTACATTCAATAAAAGTGTATTTCAACTCAAATTTAATATATTTTAAATTAGTTGAGCCGTATTTTATGTAAGTAAACGAGCAATTTAAAAAACGCGTCTCGCCTATTTAAAATTAAAGCGTAAAAAAAATTAAACATGAAAAAGTTCTTCTGTTTTATAAGTTATTTTATATTTGAACAAAAGAGTTTGCAAAAAGACTTTTTTAATAAGAATTTTTGAAAATTAAAAGTATGAAACTAAAACTTAAACAAAAGTTTATAAAATATATTGTTTTCTATATACAAATATATACTTTATTTTTTGCGTGACGTCTAAAATGCGTTACTGCTTTTTTGCTTACGTAGGCAAAATACGACAACCTTTTCAGTTTATAAGTTTTAATCATAGTCAATAAAAGTTATACCTTATAACTTCTTCTTATACTTTATAACTTCTTCTTATACTTTATAACTTCTTCTTATACTTTATAACTTCTTCCTTTACTTTATAACTTCTTCTTATACTTAATAACTTCTTCTTATACTTTATAACTTCTTCTTATACCTTCTAACTTCTAACTTCTTCTTATACCTTATACCTTCTATTGACTATGCTTTAATTGAGTTTAGTTAATTTTGGGGGAGTGTAAAAGAAAGAGGATGGGAATTTTTTTATTAAATCTTTTTTCAATTTAATAGTAACTAACAATTTAAAAATTAAAAAAAACTAAAGTCAATTTATCTTTGGCCTCTAATCAAAGCCAAATTATTATTTTTTACAAAACATGTCTAAAGCAATTTAATACTGGCATGGCTTGCGGTCAAATGCTGATTTATGGTATAATTTTAACTTATTATAATTTTAATAGAATTTAATATGCTTATATAAGTTTTATACTAGGATGAAGAAGAAACCGAAAGATCATTTTTGACATTTCAAAAAATGTTTAGGCTGAATTTTTTTGAGTAAAACAAAATAATAAACTAGTATTCCTGTGACTCAAGAAACGTTGTGAGAATAAAAATGTATGAGAGAATAAAAATGTAAACAAAGCGCTTTGTTTTATTATATCGGCTTAAGCCGATATAATAAAACAAAGTATATGCTCAAATTAAAAATTTTTAGGGTAGCGTTTTATTGCTCATAAAACTTTATAAAATATTAGTTATAATATATAATAGGTGTTATAAATCATATATCAGAACTAACTAAAAAAAAACAACGAGAAAATTAGATTTTTTAAACTTCTTGAAATTGTAAAATTTGACAAAGAGGTCTTGTTGTCTTTGATTTAATACCGGTTAATTTTATATTTACTAAAGATGGAGAATCTCATACAATATTAGATAAAATTGTTTATTCAGTATGTGCTTTGGTTAACTTTAGTTGCATTTAATTAGTAAATAGTTTGAACAATAATTTAAAAATAATATGCCATTAAACTAGATACGTGGACTGAAATTTTTTAATTGAGCATATACTTAAATGTTATATATCATTAGAAAGTCTTTTAATACAGTATTTTAAAAGTGAAATAATTATCGAAAACGAACAATTAAAAAAAAAATTTATGGCGTTTTTAGTAGCATATTTTAGATATATGAAGTTGTTGAAGAAACTGGTGCAAATTTTTTTTTCCTACTTAAATTGTTACAACTTTGTTAAATCTTATCCTAATGTCTATAACTTGGTATCAAAAAATGTAAGAGTAGGCTACAAGTTTTTATTAGTCTATAGATATTAGACGTATCTAAGGGGCTAGAAGAGGTTCAAAAACACCATCGTAACTCTAAAAAATACAAGTTTTCAACATGAAAAAGTGTTCTGATTAAATTTGTTATCTTTATACACAAAAAGTTGTTGCAATTTGCTTCCATTCTTGGAGTCGGAGATCACGTGACAAATCTGATTTTTATAGCTACTATTATGGATTAGGTAAACAAACTTCTAGAGCGCCGTAAAAACAACAAGATTAATATTGTTTCGCTAATTTGCAAATTTAAACTCATTTAAATTAATTTACAAATGTTAATTTATTCAAAAGTATTTATTTTAAATAAGTTTGATGATTTTCTGTTTTGTTTATAAGTTACATGATACCCTGTAAAAAAACCGTTAATTTAATTTTTTAAGTTTATTATGAAAAAATATTTCAAGTGTAATTTCAAATAAAATTAAACAAATAAACTACTTTAAACTTAAAACAAAAAATAAAAATTGAAAATATAAAAAGAAAACATCCTATATACTACTTTTATTATTCCTGTTTGTATATATTTTTTTTCCATTTAAAATTCATGTATTTTACTTAAACTGATAAAAAATTTTATAAACTGGTTAAAATAAAAAAGTTTTAAGACATAAAAGTGTAGACATAGATAAAAAAATGTAGCAAATGAAATAAAACATAAAACTTTAATTTTAAAATGTTTTTTAAAAGACTTAATTTTTCAATTATACAATTATAGCAAGTTATTTGTTCACATCTTTTTATGGTTCAAAATCTACAATTAAAACACTAAGCCTTCAATGATAAAATTAAAAATGAATTCCACGTAAAAGACATAGATGATTAGCTATTTGAAAGAATCTTCCTATTTTTTCCTTAGTAGCCTATCTGTAACTATTTCAAAAATACAACATAAAGATTTACTTTTAAATCTTAAAACTTTCCATCAAGTTTTAGGTAGTGAGTTTGTAGTGAACCTTTTTTCGCTGTTTGATGTACCTCGGCTGAAAATGAGTTTGTGCTATCGGCTTTAAAACAGCTTCCAGGACTGACTCCGATACACAATTGCATTAAACTTGACTCCAGATTCCAAAAATATTAATGGAGAACGTCCATCAGAGGTCACTGCAGCCCGTACCATTGCTTTAAAAGGTGAATACATACATACATACATACATACATACATACATACATACATACATACATACATACATACATACGTACATACATACATACAAACATACATACATACATACATACATACATACATACATACATACATACATACATACATACATACATACATACATACATACATACATACATACATACATACTAGGGTGGAGTGAAAACGTGAAAAAAATTTTTTTTTGATTTGCTTGACTTTAGATAGTTATTAAAACTTGCTCTGTGATACAATCAATTACTCCGAAAAAAAAAATTAATTTAGGTAACGTCTTGAGGTTCCACAACCAACTTCAAAATATAACCATTTATAAGCATTTACTATCCGGTATTTTTTTATTGTAGTTCACTTTTATACATATTCACGTGCGTTTTTCCTGTCTAGAGTAAACAAACAGCGTTTATTGCAAAACATTTTATTCATATAAGATAATACTTTAATTCATTTATAATAACAATTCATATTTAATGGCTGTAGCCAGGAAAAAAGTATCTTGTGTCATTTTTGATGCTCCCTCTGAAATGCCTGACAATCAACTACCTACTTATGCAGATGTTATGAAGTTTTACAATCTGACAAAACAGAAACTTAAATATGAATTGAACAATAGAGATCCACCACATCACAATGTGGCAGAAATAGTGACAACAAAAGTGGAACAAATATGGGACAAAGCTTGTATACCACATGTAAGCCACCGCCGTGTCCAAGAAATGTTGAACAAGTACCACAAGACGTTCATGAATTTGCTGAAGCCATATAAGTCTAGAAAAGACTCCGGACCATACCGAGAGAAAATATCTCAGTTTAAAAATGAATCCAAAAAATTCTTTGACATTTGCTCCTGCAAGTGTTCTTTCATATCTCAGTGTCAGTGTGAAAAGTCAAGAAAGATACCCGCAATTGAACGTGATTTTCTAGAAGATCAGCGGGGTCCACGAGGTATGATCATTGCTAAAGTTGATGAGGCCGAATCCATCAAATTGCAAAAACGATATATTCGTAAAGAGTTGACGCAGAGGCAGATGTGCAGCAAATCTGACATTGATGACATCAGTGAGAAACAGTCAGATGTTTGTGAGGAGTTTTCTTCTACGGAAGAGAAAACTGATGCTAGCAATGACGAATCTGATGACGATTGTATGCCGGATCCTAATGAACAATTTAGAAAGTTGAGTGACAAGCAGATGAGAGTTAAATTACCATCTCTGGCGTTAGCATGTGATCGACATGGTGTATCCGAAAGGGTCGGAGCAGGAATCTCCAGTGCTGTTCTTCAAGATGTTGGAATAATCCACGAAAGGGATGTTTCTAAAGTGATTGACAGAAGTAAAGTGCGACGAGAGCGTTGTAAAAAACGTGGAACATTATGTGCCAATGTCAGTAACACAATCACTAGGCTATATTTTGATGGAAGAAAAGACAGTACAATAACCCTTATTAAAGAATGTGATGGGAAATTTCATCGAAAACTAACAACTGAAGAACATATATCCATTATATCCGAACCAGGATCCATCTATTTTGGCCACATTACACCAATTGCAGAGTTGATTGCATATTTGAGTAAAAAGAATGTTGACCTGGGTGGTATAAAAACTGTAGGTTGTGACGGAACCGTTGCTAATACAGGCAATCGAGGAGGTATCATTCGATTACTTGAAGGGGCGTTGAACAAACCGCTGCAATGGTTCGTATGTCAGCTACATGCTAACGAATTACCGTTAAGGCATTTGTTCGAACATCTAGATGGACCTACCAATGGTCCAAAAGGATTTTCTGGTCCAATCGGAAAATCATTGGTGGCATGTGAGAAGCTTCCCGTTGTCAAATACATACCCATAAACTGTATTCTACCGACAGGTTTAAATTCTGACGATTTAAGTACAGATCAAAAATATCTGTTTGACTTGTGCACCGCTGTCAGTGTTGGCGTTTGTCCTGTAGGCTTTTCACTTCGCAATCCTGGTGTTATCAATCATTCAAGATGGTTAACAACGGCTAATTGAATACTACGCCTGTATATAGCCACAAGATGCCCATCGGATGAACTGAAGACTATGGTTACCTTCATCGTAACAGTTTATGCACCAGCATGGTTTGAAATAAAAAATACTTCTTCATGTAAAGATGGCGCTCGACATGTCCATAATACAATACTGAAATCACGCTACCTCACAGACAAGCTGAAGAAAGTTGTTGATCCAGTAATTCAACGCAACGCATTTTTTACTCATCCAGAAAACCTGTTGCTTGCGATGCTTACCGACGAAAAATCAGAAATACGCGAGTTGGCTCTGAGACGTATAATGAAATCCAGGAAGCAGAAGCGCACGAGTTCAGTTAGATCTTTCTGTGTGCCAGTAATCAATTTTGAAGCTACCAGTTACATAGACATGATCGATTGGCAAAAAACTCCAATCACAGAGCCTCCAATCGTAATGGACATTGATGACGATACTTTTTTAACCATGATCCGGGAAGAAGATACACCAAGACTGGATTTCGCACGCTATCCTTGTCACACTCAGTCGGTGGAGAGGCATATTAAGCTAGTTACAGAAGCTTCCCAAGCGGTTTGCGGTCCAGAAAAACGCGACGGATTCATAAGAGCACGTTTGGAATCGAGGTCAAAAATGCCGAAACTGGACACTAAAGCACAACATCATTTGTAGCTATAAAATCATGTTTGACTAGAGTTTTCATGTGTTTTTTTTTTCAAATATTTAGTTCTATTTACTTGTAACTTTCGTATAGACTGTTAAAAATGCATACTGCTACATAAATATGTTGTCATATATAAACTTGAAATTTCAAAAAATATTGTTTTTTATTTGAAATATGCCTATAATTCAGGTCAATTGTGGAACCTCAAGATATGCTTTAAATCGTTTGATTGTTTGCCACATTACTAATTGCATATGTCAGCAAATTTTTATAGCTATCCAACCAAGATATTCAACAAAAAATTTTTTCACTTCACCCTAATACATACATACATACATACATACATACATACATACATACATACATACATACATTCATGCATGCATGCATGCATGCATACAAATTGAAATTGACAGAAAAACACCCTCTCAAAATCATAGAATCATTCGACTATCAAAAGCCAAGGGTGGACAAACATTACCTAAAACTCCTGGTAACAAAATATTTTAACTTATCATTTCGTTTAGGATAAAATATGATAACCTTTGTTGTGTTTTAGAACCACCAAGTGCAGCTGTTCAAGGATCAACTAGTTGTAACAGCCAAAGATTATGCTCAGGTGCAAATAAATACAGGCTTGTCCAACAATGGTATCAGAAAGCTAGCACAAACAATCAACAATGTTAGCACAACCAAAGTTTTGGAGCCTTGCATAGTTAAAAAATTTCAAGATCTTGGCGAAAATCTTGAAGACAGCTTCACTCAGACAGCAATGGCATTTACAAACTCTGATAAAACAAACTCAAATCATGTGGTTGCACATTTTAAAAGCCTAAACTCCTTAATGAAAGATCTACTTCTGTCACGCAAGATTTTTCAAACCATATAGTTAAATTGGGGATTGATGGGGGTAGAGAATTTTTAAAAGTCTGTCTTGGAGTTTTCGTAATGGAACCACAGCACAATGATTATTCACCTCCCAGCAAACGATTGCTTACATGCAAAACATAAAAATATACTGGAGTGAAAAGACAACTTCTTGTGGCTGTGGCTGAAGGTGTTCAAGAAAATTATACAAATATAAGGCTCATTCTTTCTCTTTTTGACATCAAGGATGTAAAATTTGTCATCTCATGTGATATGAAATTGGCTGACATTTTATGTGGCCTGCAGGCCCATTCTTCCCATCCATACGAATGGTGTACTGCTGAAAGCTCAAATCTTGCAGACCGTTGGACTCCAAGAACATTTGGCTCTTTGAAAGATTCATTCCGTGCCTTCTCTGTTCAAACACCAAAAATGCCAAGAAGTTTGAAAATGTAATTCACAAGCCTATTCTTTCTCTTGGCAATTCTTCTTTGGTAATGGATCTTATTCCACCCATGGAGTTGCAACTTTTACTTGGTATTGTGAATCATTTTTTCAAGATTCTGAAAGATGTATGGCCAAAAGCAGATAATTGGCTTCAAGCTTTACACATAAAGCAACAGCCCTTTCACGGTGGTTATTTTGCAGAAAATGACTGCAATAAGCGACTAAAAAACCTAGATTTTTTGCAAACTATTGCTGAAAAGGACAATGCTTTTCATATTTTTCCCATCATTAATACCTTTCAAAAATTTGCTGATGTGGTATCATCCTATTTTGGCAACAAATTGCATGTGCAATTTGAAGAAACAATAGATGCTTTCAAAAATTCCTTTTCAATCCTTGCCTATTGGAAGTATCACACCAAAAGACTTCGTCAAACAAAAAAAGATGCCACTTAAAATTTTTAGCACACAAACAACAGAAGCAATGCACCACTGCATCAATTTACATTGGGAAAGATACAAACGCCCAATAAGTCATCCAGAATATGGAAAAAGGCTTCTTATATGCCTTGTTGATTTCAACAGCAAGAATTTTTGGTGTAAGCTTCAGCCAACGCAAGGAATTACCTAAGAATAATCAGTATTAGAGAAAAAATGTTTCATGAAATTTGAAAATCTTTTAAGGAGAAAAGAATTCTAAAAGAGAGTTTCCATGTCAAGTCATGTAGAATTAAAGTATTTTTATATATGTTGCTTGTATTATTTTATTATGAATAATTTAAAAATGCAAAATTTTGAGCATGCTGTCATTTCACATATTTGTGGAATAAAGAAAATTTTCAAAATTTATTTTCTTTCTCGGACGTAGTCAGGTGATTTATTTTTACATTTTTAGATTTCCATGGTCATAATCTTTCACAGGTATACCGTGGTTTTCTCGGGAACTGACTTAAGGGTCAACTCATATTTTTGCTAACCGCTAACTCTTATTTGGTAGCGCTTCTATGTGGATTAAATCACGTCTTCCGGTGAAATAGTTAGCCAAACAAAATGTCTTTTTCTGTCATCACATCATGTCAGCCACAAAAAGTCTACCAGCACAAAGAATACCACTGGTAAATTAAAAAGTGGATCAAAAAACGAGCTGAAAGCTAATTCTATTGATCATTTTCTGACAATTTTTAAACAAGATTGCCAATTTTTAGTTAATTCAATTTTTAACACAAACATCTTTTTTTTTTTTTACAGAAACACAAATTTTTTACACAAATAACACTTAAATATGTGATTTTAAATATTTATTTATATATTATATTAAATATAACCATATATCTATTTAACCTAATTAACCAATTAAACTATCTTTTATCTAGTTAACTTGATTTTATGTAAATTTAACCTTTATTTAATGTTTGTATGGACTAATTTAAAGTATTTTATAAATTACAAAATTATTTTTTTAAGAAAAAATTTTTTTCGTATTTTCTGCATCTTTTTCATTTTTTACTAACTCATTTGTTGCTAACATTTTTGTTGCTAAAATTTTTGTTGCTAACATTTTTGTTGCTAACATTTTTGTTGCTAACATTTTTTTCAATTTTTTTTTATTAGCTGTAAATCAACATATTCCAATAATTACTAAAAAGATGCGCCCAGTCAAAGTTCAAATACCTACCGAAATAATGTTACTTGATTTATCTATAGATGTGAGTTATTATTGGAAACATTTAGGAAGAAAACTTAAACTCCCTAACTCTAAAATTGAATCGATAGATAAAGATCATATTAACTATGGCAGTATCGATGAAAAATCCTTTGCTATGCTATTAGAATGGAAAGAATTAACTCCTAATGCCACAACGCAAATTTTGTTTGATGCTTTAAAATCGTATGGAAAATTGGAAATAGCATTGAAGCATTTTCCGCTATAAAATATCTTGACGAATTTAACTTGCTGCAACAAAGCAAAAAAATAGCAAAATATGAATGTAAAAAAACAAAGTTCTACAATGATAAAGATCTAAACTGTGAAATGTGACCGTTTAAGTTGGATTGCAAAGCCCAATTTTAGGAGCTTTTTATTTCAAGTTTTAACATAATTTTTTTTAACGTTCTTTTTTCTTATGGTATAAGTGTATAAAAAAGAATATTTAAAGTTTGTTCTTAGCTACGAAAACACTATAAAAATTTCTCTGCTTTATAATTTTGATCTTTTTAAGAAGCTGATGGGTACGCGGTACGGGTACGCGGTATTTACTAACTAAAAAGTTAAGTAAAGTCTTAAAATTTCATTTAGAAATGATTAATTTAATAAAAAAACTTATTTTAAATATTTTGTGGAAAATTTCAATAATAACTTAGAGCTAATAACGTTACCCGGCTGCAACTTTCTGCCGAAATGCTGACTTTTATAGGACGTGGAAACCGTTGGTGCCCAGTGGGCACCGAACCAAAAAAAGACGTTTTTTAAACGTTCAAAAGACATCCTAAAGACGTCCGAAACGTGGATATGACGTTTAAAAGACGTCTTTTTTACGTCCGTGCCCACTGGGTGGTTGCCTCTCTAAAAATGTTTTGGCTTCCGCATTAAAACTGGCAACCACAGCCAGAGTATTTTTTCAGAGACCAAATTTATCGGACACCAACATCAATAGGGGGAAGGAAGCTATTAGTTTCCAGAAGAAGGCAAAAGTTAGTTTACGTCGTATTAGCTTTTACGTCGCTAATTTTTTTGTAAAATAAACTTTTTAAAACCACATTATTTCAAAATGGGGCAATTAAGGCAATTTTTTTAGTTTCTTATAGAATGAGTTAGAATCATAAGAAACTGTTGAAAATAGCTGATAACATTATTTAAATTGCGCTACTCAAAAAACTGCATTTTGGCCGAATTTTAAGTGTTTCTAAATCACGGTGCATTGGTGAAAAAATCATTTCGACAAAAGTATTATGTCATACCTATTTATACGTCATACTTAGCATTTTTACACATTGGTACACAACAGAATTAACCACTACCACCACTTTCCAGCTGCTTAGAACAAGTTTAATTCGAACCAATATAAGCCTCCTCTGCAATTGGATAAGACTTACATCGTGATTTTTTTATTTCTTTTTTTTAATTAAAGAAAAAAAACATTATTAAGATTAACAACGATAAACAAACTAACCTGAAAGGCAAACATTGATTTATTTACTTTTCCTAAAAGCAACCCTTAAAGGCGAGTTTCCACTCATCCGTTTTTTCACGGGAACGGGATAGAAACGGGATAAATAATTTTTTTTTTTTTTTTTTTTTTTTTTTAATTTTACATTTGTTGGTCGTATTACAACTATATATTGCCAAAAAAAATAAAAAAAAAAATAATGATGATAATAATAAACTTTCACAAATATAAAATAAGGTATCTGAAAGAAGATCAAAGGATCTTGTCGTCAGAACCTTAAATAAGTTCAAACAAGCATTAACAGTATCAAATTTTTACAAATTTCATATATATATAATCCAAATATATATTTTATAATCCAAAGAGAGATCACGCGGATCTACTCATTAATATTTTATATAAACGTATACGTGAAGTAAAGAATATAAAATCAACAAAATAAGTAAGAATAAACTTTTTACAAATATAAATAAGAAAAGGCAAAGTTATTAATTTATATTATTAATAATAACATAATACGTCTTCTAATGAAAAAATTAGGGTTTTTAATTTACTTTTAAAAAAACGAAAAGTAATGGGTAGTTCGATATCAAAATTGGGCAAAACAATTTTATTCCAAAGGTGTGGTGCCCGATAGACAATACAAAATTGATTAAAGTTCGTTTGACAGAAAGGTTCATTTAAAAAATCAGTATTTCTCAAATTGTATTTGTTGATGGGTTTTGGAGTAAAAATATCTTTGAAGACAGATTGAGACAAGTCATTTTTCCACATGTATACAAAGCATAAAACATTATATATATTTAGCTCGTATATATTTAAAATTTTCATTTCAATAAAATAATGTTTTGCGTGAGAAAAGCGATTTGCAAAGCAGATTAAACGGATAGCATGTTTCTGACGGCGATAAAGACGTTGCAACTTACTTTTTTCTGTACTACCCCAGGCGATATTAGCATAATTTAAATAACTGTGTATAAATGAATAATAAAGTTTGATTAAAATTTTCTTATTGAGGTAGATTCGTGCTTTATATAAAACTCCTATGTTTTTTGAAATTTTAGTGCTTATGTAGTCGATATGATGATTCCAAGTGATGTTTTCATCAAGGTAAACACCTAAAAATTTTGTTACGGAATCCCTTTTTATTTCATTTTGATCAATAAAAATTTTAGGTAAGTTTAATGGCAAATATCGTTTTTTGGAAAGCGAATGGAATAAGGTCCACTTTGTTTTATTAGAATTTAGAGTTAACTTATTACATTTAAACCAACTCGATACATGTATAAGCTCTTTGTTCATTGTTTTAAAAAGTTCAAAGATATCACTGTTAGAAAGAAATAAGTTAGTATCATCTGCAAACATAATACTTGTTAGTTTAGAGGCTTTATTTAAATCATAAATATAAATTAGGAAAAGGAGTGGACCAAGAATTGAGCCTTGTGGGACTCCACATGTTATAGAAAGACAATTGGTGTGATAACCGTCATTACTCGGAACAAATTGTTTACGATTTGACTAATAGCTTTCAAACCATTTTAAAACTTTATTTTTTATTCCATTTTATTATTGTTTAAGTTTATGGATTAGAATTTGGTGGTCAACCGTATCAAAAGCTTTTGATAGATCAATAAAAAGTCCTAGAGTATATTGGGATTTTTCAAATGATTTTGAGATTTCCCGTACAAATTGGATAATTGCATGTTCAGTTGAGCTATCCTTTTTAAAACCGAATTGATTAATGTTAAGTAATTTATTAACATGAAAATATTTGTATACTCTGTTATATATAATTCTTTCTAAAATTTTTGAAAAGGTGGAAAAAACAGAAATAGGGCGATAATTACTTATAATTGATTTGTCCCCTTCTTTAGAAATATGAATAATTTTGGCAATTTTTAACAGTTCGGGGAAAACACCTTGATGAATAGAAGCTTTAAAAACTTTAAAAAGAACAACTTTTAGCTGTTCAAAACAATCTATAATAACGTTTCCATTTATTTGATCTGCTCCAATTGCTTTATTTTTTTTTTAAAGATTTGAAGGCTCTTTCAAACTCTTCAAACAACAATTCAGAAGACAACTCAACTGAACCAATGCAATTATCAATGGGTACTAGAAAATCAGTAAATAAAGATTTGGTGTTTGGGATTTTTTTAGAAAGTGTTGGACCTATATCGATAAAAAATTTGTTAAATTCTTGAGCTATAGTTCTTGGTTCGTATAAACTTTTGTTATCGACTCTAACCATTTGTGGCAGAAAACCTGAGCATGATTTTTGTTTTCCAATAATTTCATTCATTATTTGCCATGTGCGTTTTGTGTCATTTTTAAATGTATTGAGAAATTGGGAGTAATAATTTTTTTTTAGATTTTTGCGAATTTTTTCAAATAGGTTTTTGTAGTCCTTGTAAATTTTTTCGTTTTTAGGTGTTTTTGTTTTCAAAAAATTTATATATAGTTTTTGGTTAATTTTGGACGATTTTTTAAAGCCCTTAGTGATCCAGGGTGTATTTAAGCTCTTAGTAGTTATTTTATTTTCAATGATTGGGAAGTTAGCATCGTATACAGAAAAAAATGTTTTGAAAAAAGACTCATAGAGATTGTTAGCATTATCATTAAAATTTATGTTATTCCAGTGTAGTAATGAAAGTTGATTTTTGAATAAATTAAGGTTAGCCTCATTATAAATGCGTTTTCTAATTACTCTTTGTGCGGTTAAAGTTTTTTCAGAGATTGTATTATCTAATTTTAGGAATATAGGGAAATGATCTGATATATCGGTTCGCAAAATACCTACTTTTAAATCATTGTTGAAAATATCTGAAGTTATTATATTATCTATTAGAGTCGCTGAATTTGTCGTTACTCTTGTAGGTTTGTTTATTAAAGATACTGAACCCGTTTCAAAAATTTCATCATAAAAATTTTTAACTTTAAGGTTATCATTATAAAGAAAACAATTCATGTTTAAATCTCCAATTATAAAATTTTGTTTTTTTTCAACGGTACCTTTTTTAATAATTTGTTGTAAAAACATGCTAAAGTTTTCGCTTACGCCATCAGGTGGCCGATAACAACAGCTTAGTAAAATTTTTTTTTTGTTGCAGTTAGTAATTTATATAGCTGCAATTTCTTTATCGCAGTCAGAAACGCTTAAATCATGCCTAAAACAATACTCAAAATTTTCGTGAACATAAATTAAAACTCCACCACAGCGCTTATTTGTTTTCCTTTCCATTAAAAATGTATTAAAATGAGGTAGATGAAAATTATTTAGGTCTTCTAAAGAAATCCAAGTTTCTGTTAAACAAATTATATTAAAAACATGTTTAGTTTCTTCTAATAAGTCTAAAAGTTTTTCAAAATTGCTATTTAAGCTTCTTATATTGAGGTGGAGAATTAACATTTGATTATTATTTCTTTCATTCTCATTCTTAAAAAGAAACCCTTCTAGTTGGCTAGGAAAGTAATATGAACAATCTGAAAATTTATTGTGATAAATATTGTAATCAGAGTCTAAATTTTCATTTAACGTAGAGTAATTTGTTTTTTGAATTTTAAAAACACGAGATTCAAAGTTTTCATTTGTAGCCATGATTAATATATTTTATTTAAGATTTCTTTTTAGGAATGCCCATAAAATTATTCGTTAAAATTGTTTTTAAAAGAAGTTTTAATATAAACAATTTTGTCATACCTTACCGTAACACTTTCACCATTCAATCGCCTTTCTTTCACTTCAGCGAACAATTTTTTTCGAATAGCGACGGTTTCTCGAGAAAAATCTTCGTTCACGAACGTATTTGTGCCTTTGAGTCGATACAATTCCTTCAATACTCTTATTTTGTCTTTATATTTCTGAAGATTTAATATTATAGTCCTTGGTCGTCCATCGTTTTTTCGTCCAGTGCGGTGAGCTCTTTCAATTTCAACATCTTTTAGCCCAATTTTTTCGGTGAAGAATGTTTGGACTTTTTTTTCTGTATCCGCCCATGATTCTTTATCATTCTCGTAAATTCCTTCAATCCTA